TTTATTATTTCTCTATCCGTGCAGCAAATAAGTTTCGATCTAAGTTTGACAATAATATTACGATTCACCAAGTTTGAATCAAATCGAATATTCCCTTCGAGAGTTGTCGTGCGCACCAGGCTGACAGACAGGCGGACGGACATCGCTAGATCGACACCAAATGTCCTGAAACGGATTTGATCCAAAGAGACTTAGGGTCTAAAACCGTTATTTCGAAGAGGCACGTTATGGCCGTATCAAATGATATATATCCTCTAGCCATATGGCTGAGGGTATGAAAATAGTTTGCATATATTTCATTTATGGTGGGAAGTTAAAACTTTTTTTTTAGCATTTTTGTAAAGTGTCATTTCACAGGTGTAAAATTTGTTGGGAAGGAAAGAGCGAATTATTTTCCATTAAATACACTTTTCATTTCCGTAAACCTTCCCTAAAAAAAGTACAAAACATTTTTGCAAGTCAATATTCTGCGACACCTTAAAAAATGCCTGTTTTGATAAGAAATGGAGCGTGGTCGGTAAAAACTCTCGAACATGTGTTCTCTCCAAAAGGTTCTTGATTTCATTTCTGTTTTATTGATATTGGCAGATATAATTTCGGTTTGTTCTTTGCGATTAACTTTCGCTTTTTCAAGTTCAACAAATTTCTTTCTTTCTACCTTCCTTCTTTTGATCAATAAACCGACGCATGAGAGTTTACAACAGAAATGAGCAAAGTAAACAAAAACAAGTATAAAGATTCCAAAAAAACGCAAACTTTGATTAAACAAAATGAGGGCAATAAACATATAATGACGTATTAGAGAGTGTATATGTATGAGGTATTTCCTATGTCTGGGCGATATGTGCTAAATGCCATGTAGCCAGATGCCAAGCGGTGGGAGTTCGCTCAATTAACAAAATGAAATATTTAAAAACTTTCAAGAGCTTATTTTGGCCATGGTGGTCTTTCGCTCTCTGAGAATGCTAATCTTATCGCCTTAAGATAATATGCATTCGTTACTAGGCACATTGGAACGTGCCTATTGAATGCCGGTCTCTCTCGCCGACTTTTCTCAATGAATGAATGAAGTTACATTGGAATTTTCCAGAGGTCTACGCACCATCAACACCTTACAACATGATCTCTTATCCATTGTCGGATTTACATACAGAAATACAGATATATACAAACAGACATACATTTGTTATGGTTTCTCTTTTGCTTAAGAAAACCTGCTAACAGTTTCGGTTTGGCAGTGCTCACTTGTCGGCTGTAGCTTCGAAAGAAAACAAGTCAATTGTATTTATCAAGGTCTAGTACTAAAATAAATACGTATTCCAAATATAAAACCATGCACGAAAAAATGCATTTAAATAACAAAATAAACAAAAGTACGTGGAAGGAAATTTTAACCGATGCCACGAAAAGGAAAATGATTATTGTGCCAACCAACGAATACGACTTTTTCAATGTAAGTTTATTCAGAAGTTAATGTGTTTTCGCACAATTTAAAAAAGCTTACCCCAAGGACGGTCATTGCATTTGCAATGTTTACAAATATAAATCAATTGGCGTTTATACCAAATAAATTTATAATCCAGAATTCGCTGTGAATTTCAAACCAAACTGTTGAAGCTGAAGACAATTTTTGCACAAATCCTTCGGTTTTTCTTGCACCGATTTTTTTAGTATTTGAAAATTTTAATATTTTATATAACTCTTCTTTTGTTTCAATGAATTGTTTGTTGTCACCAAACTTCGATTTGTTTAATTGTATTTGTCATCATAAAAATAAAACAAAGGTTTTGTTATGACAGACCGTATTTTATTGGCCTGTAAACAAGGTATTGTAAAGTTAGACGTATAATACAAATGATTAGAATACATTGTATGCTTGCAATAAAAGCAAATATTTAAAATATTGACAGATACTGATAATTTTTTTATGTTCGTAGTGGTAAATATAGGACGGAGGTTGATATAAGAAGGCATGAAACCGCCAAATTACAAAATAATCGTTTAAATTTGAGCTTAGATCAAATTCAGAGTTGAGTAATACTTACAGGGTGAGATTAAAAAACTGCAACAAAGTCAAATGCCATAATTTTTACATTTTTTTAATTAAGCAAAAAATGTCGGAAATAGTATCAAATTTTAGAATAGGATTAGATTTGTTCCAATTGGCCACCTTTGGCACGAATTCTGGCCTTCAAATGGCCAATGAAATCGTCACACGCTGCCCGAATGTTGGTCTGCGGAATTTAGGCCCATTCCCGGCGAAGCGCTTGCTTGAGTTGATCGATACTTTGGTATTTTTTAGTGCCAACCTTGCTTTTCAAAATACTCCAGACACAATAGTCCAACGGATTGGTATCTCGAGATTTTGATGGCCATTGTACGGTGGAAATGTAGCGAGCAACCTCATTTTGTAATCATTCTTAGATGGCGCGTGCTGAGTGCGATGGTTCTGAGTCCTGTTGGAATGTCCAAGGTCTGCGGCCAAAATGTTTGCGTGCCCAAGGCTTTAATACACCCTCCAGAATACCACGAGCTCATTTTTTTAATTTTTGCCGAATGGAATATTGCGATATGTTCAGCTCATGAGCCATTTTTCGGCCACTGCGAAGCGGGTTTCGATCAAGTCGCTTCTTTACTTTTCAAACCATTTCTGCTGATGTTGCTGTTTTCTTCTACCAGTATCAGGTAACGAGCGATGGTACGAAACACAAAAGATTTATTCATATTTAAATGCTAGCCAGACCTCAGATAGCAATCCGACAAATCATTGTGGATATGCGACCATTAAGGCTTAGCCAGGACAGCGTTCCTGTAGACTTATAGGAAACATCCCCGTCTGGTGAGGAAGAGGATATAGATACTTCGTTAACGCATGCTTCGACCTTGAGCTTTCCTTTGAAATGTCTATCCAATCTCCACTAAACGACAAAAAAAAACGCTCGTTGTCAAATGCTCAGAGTATATATCGGTCGGCAACTAACTGAAAGTTTCTTACTTCCATTAAAGAGCACCCACATTCTAGTATAGGTCAGGGAATACGCGATGATGATCAAATAATTGATATCAAAATTTCAAACACTTTTTAGTTTATTAAAAATAAATAAAAATATTGCTTAAGTGGGCGGAACTATCTGATCTGGCTGACATTTTATGTGTCGTATAATATATCTTTCTAACTTGGGACAAATAATTTATATCAAAAATTTAAACACTTTTTAATTTATTAACGAAGATTAAGCGAACATTTTTGTAATTACTTATTTATTCTAAAAACTAAAGAAGCAGCTAGCTTAAAAATTTTCTTCGAAAAATACCGTGAAACCGTTTTAAGGAGGCTAAGCGAAGACGTGGCTGTAGTACCCATTACGAATTTCAAATGCAAAATTTGAAACAATTCCGGTGAAAAATGTCGTTAAAATCATAAAAATACTGATTATCGGAAGTATCGTAATATGGGAGCTATATGAAGGTCCAGGTCTTCATGCATGCGCAATTTTTTCATAGGCTGTAGTACACATTTCGAATTTCAAATGCAAAATTTGAAACAATTCCGGTGAATAATGTCCCTAAAATCGTAAAAATATCAAATATCGGGGTGTACCGTTGTATGTTGGTTGTACGATATCGTAGACCTATATAGACAGGGTGTAAAGTGCTTAGAAAAACGTCTATTATGGATTTATAGACAATTCCATTAAAAAATGTTGGTAAAATAATCAAAATACCGAATATGGGGAGGTACCGTTATATGGTGGATGTGCGATATCGTGGAACTATATAGACAATACTTTTTCGGGGGGGTAAAGTACTCAGAAGAAAGAGTCCCTTTTGTGCAATTTCATTGAAAAATTTGTCTACCATCAAAATACCGATATTCGGTTTGATTCTAGCGTGATTACAACAAACGGATAGGGCTAGATTGTCTTAGAATTTTACGCTGATCAAGAATATATATACTTTGTTATGTCTAAAATAATTATTTTAATGAAGTTAATATACCCTCTATACTATGTATGGTGGAGGGTATAAAAATTTTTGAATTAATTATAAATTTACTGATTAATCTTTACACATTATTTCATACACCACATAACATCGTCTAAAAAATCATGTTTGATTTTGTACTTATGCGACATTTACAGCAGATGTTACGCATTATTTTTTTAACAGAGCCTCCTTCAACCCTTACTTTTGAAAAATTCACAATTTTTATTTCTGTATTTTGTAACGGCCTTTTCACGATCTTTCCAAGGTTCGTGACCTTAAATGTGCGTGATTTCTGACAGTCCTCGGTAGCACGTGCTGATTTTTCGTAATAAAAGGTGTATGTTCAGGACTTTTCATTTAGTCGACGTCAGAGTTTGGTGGTGCTCACTCTAATCTACAGAGATGTGTACATACATATGTATGTACGTATATTCTCACAACAATGTGTGTATGAATGCATTCATGGGTGAAAGTGGGTAGATCCTTCACTACAAATGAGAGGGCTTATATCTGATTGAACTCACCCCTAAGTTAGCCGTGAAATTACGTTATGTGCTACCTAATCAACCCTCTTTGCGTTGCATATTTATGGCAATATTTACACTGGTTTACAAAATATGCATCAATATTGTTTGTAGCTCTATTTATTTTTTATTTTCACATTCAAGCCAACATCGATTTTCTTTTATATCTTACCATATGAAATCTCCTCTTATATAAGACACCTAGATCTTCTTTAAGAGACATTAAGATCATTTGCATACATACATAGAAACGAAATATCCTATGTAGATATGAATAACATTTTCTTTTATATAACGGATATTAGATATTCCTATTCCAAAGCACCGAATGTAATTTAAGAGGCGTATTCCATAATTGCTGGTGGTAGTCTCATTAGCCACAAGTTGGAGATATTCCCATAAGTCATAAGTAATTACAGTATTCTGTTGTTTGTAGGACAGTGTTATTTGTTCCTTGTACTATGACCGTTAAATGAAACGGAAATTGGGGTGTAAAAAGGTATTTTTCTCCAACATTCTAGATGACATGCGCCAAAAATTGTTAATGGCAAATAACTGAAAATTGAGGAAATAAAGAGTGGTAGTCCATACAAAAAGAGGTACCGACAAAACCGGCAAAATTAAGTTTTTCCTCAAAAACTACATCTCTCCAAATACCCCAAGACTCTCTCTCTTTTGAGACTGAGAACATGTGTTCAATAAGTTAATTACATTGCAAGTGCATTGTCTGATTTTGACCTCCTTTTTTCTGTGCGGGTCTTCCCAATTGCATTTGCATGTTGTATTGTTAAATATATCGCGTGCCAAAGCGGATCAACTTTGCTGCCTTGGAAACTTGTGCGAAACTTTATCCACGAAACACCGGCCTACTTAATAGAGGATACAAGGTTTGGGAAAGGGAAATCAAATCATTTCCAATTCAAGTGGTGGGGAAAGCCAACCACACCCGGTCTGTTTTATTCGGCGCTCAGTGTCTGGCACGAAATAATTGTTACAAAATTCTATTTCGGGACACGTAATACTAGCCATCGATTTAAGACTTAGTTCACAAAAGTGCCTTGTCGAAATCATTTGTCCTCAAACACAGCCACTAAACACAGTTCGTTCCTTAGTTCCAAAGCTTATTAACATTAATAGTGCGTTCACTTAACACTACAACCATTCGTTATACAAATCAAAAAAAAAAATCAATATCCAAATTAAAAACAAAATCTGTGATATTCCAAAACATAACAACGTAAAATATAATCAATAATTCGCAAATCGGAAAATGAAACAACAAAACGTCTCGCGAAAAATTGGCAAAAAACCAATATCTCATGAAAAGGTGTACCAATTGTTCGGACCGCAAGTATGCAGCAGCATTAGTTTGCACCCAGATGCTAAAAGAAAAATTCAACTAATTATATTTTTATCATTTTCTTTATGCCTAGGCCTCTTTTGAGGAGATACGTCAAGCTGCAGCCCGCATATGTCGTGATTATTTAAATGGCCGTTGGAAGGAAGTACCCACCGAGCAGTTGATAGTCAAACGTATTAGGTAAGTTGTGTTTTTTAATTGCCAAAATGACGTCACTAGTTTAACATGTGTCGAAACTCTTTATATTCATTCATACAGCGGAGGACTTTCGAATTTCTTGTATTACGTAAGTTTGCCACAAGATTGCGGTGCTACCACCACCAGCAATGAAGTCAACGATTCCGGGGCATCAACATCATTGATGTCGACATTGCCACAATCAGATAATGACGAAAATAGAAATGAACCAGATTTCAATGACCTCCTTTCGGCCGGCGATTGCAATGGCAACAAACGTAAACGTTATGACAGTTCATCGTCCACATTGGCCTCAGCTTTTAGACAAAAGGAACCGAAAGAGGTAAGTGTAAGAAGGCAGAAAAGGCACTGCAAAATGTGTACGTTTTGGGCCCTATGTGAAAGAATTTTTTTGAAAACTATTTCGATAACATTTTTTCATTAAAAGTCTTTCGTTAGCACATGTAGTTTTTGTTAAAGCAACTGATTGCCTTTAAGCTCTCATGCGATTGTAGACTTCGTTTAGGAGAGACTCCTTCCAGCTCATCTATAATGTCTCCCATTAGCTCGTGTATTACGACTTCCGTTAACTTATCCAAATATGCGACTCTCTTCAGCCTGTATTTTGGTCGTCTATTACGACTTCCATTAACTCGTCCATGAGCTCGCATAGAACAACTCACTTCATCTCCTTTACAGCGACTCTCTTTAGGTCATTTATAGCGACTTTCCTTCTGCTCGCCCATAACAACTCTTCAATCTGTCCATTATGTGGCTTTTTGGTCGTGTATCAATACTACTGTATATTTTGGCCATCTTTGCAACTTTCTAAGCTCTCGTGCGGCTGTAAACTCCCTTCAGCGCATCTATAAGAACACTTTCTGATTACCTCTAAGCTTTCATGTGATTGTAGACTTCGTTCAGGACACACATAACGGCTCCCTTCAGCTCGTTTATAACGTCTCCTCTCACCTCGTCAATGACAACTCCCTTCAAACCTCCCATTATGTGTCTGTTTTGTTCGTCTCAACGTCTCTCTTCAGCCTGTATTTTGGTCGTCTATTACGACTTCCGTTAATTCGTCCAAATATGCTGCTAAAGCTCCCATAGAACCACTCTCTTCAGCTCCTCTATAGCAAACCTCTTTAGATCATTTCTAACGACTTTCCTTCAGCTCGTCTATAAGGACTCTCTTCAACCTGTCCATAATGTGCCTTTTTGGCCGTCTATAAATACTCCATTCAACTTTTCCATAACGTGTGCCTTTTGGTCCTCTTTACGACTTCATCTCTAAGCTCTCATGCGATTGTCAACTTCTATCAGCGCATCTATAAGGAAACCTTTAGGTCGTACATAACTACTCCCATAATCTATAACGTCTATATGGACTCCTGTCCATAACGGGCCTCTCTTGGACTCCCTTCAGATCGTTTATAACCTTTAGATCTCCTTCACAGCGTTTATAACGATCACTTCAACTTGTCCACAACGGGTTCTCTTGGTCGTCTCTTACGACTTCCTTCAACTCGCCCATAATATGCTACTTAAGCTCGCCTAGAAGAAAAAAGACTCTTTAGTCTTTAAGACCACTTTATTCGTCTATAAATATTATTTTCCAACCCTTTAAACATTTATTTATTCCTCTCAGCTTATCTAGACACATATAAATACAATCTTCATGTCGTCTATTGTATTCAATTGTATTCACATCGTCTATATAAAAACTGCTTAGATCAACCTTCAGAGAGTATATAAGGACTCTTTTTTCATCCCCTCCCAATATTACTTTAGATAAATTCCATTTTCATTTGAGTTTAATATTCGCATTTTTAAATACATAGCTTAAAGTCCTTCTCTCCTCTTCCAATAATGATTTTTACAATTTCAGGTACTTTTACGCATCTATGGCCAATCCCATGGCGAAGATGCTTTGGAACAGATGATAACAGAGTCGGTGGTCTTCGCGTTACTAAGTGAACGTCATTTTGGACCACGTTTATATGGTATTTTCCCCGGTGGCCGCCTTGAACAATACATTCCTGCCAGAGCATTATTAACCTCAGAGTTAGCCATACCAGACATATCAATGAAAATTGCTGAAAAAATGGCTGAAATTCACACCTTAAATATTCCTATGTCTAAGGAACCCGACTGGCTGTGGAATTGTATGGAACGTTGGCAACGCTATTTACCCGACATACTTAAACCAAATTCCAAATGGCCAGATCAGGAGGCTGTCAGTTTTATGCGTGGTATTGATTATGACAAGGAGGTCCTATGGTTGAAGGGAGTTATTAATATGCATAAATTTCCCGTCTTATTTTGTCACAATGACATGCAAGAGGGAAATATCCTTATGAAAACCATAACAAATGATGAATCAGAGTGAGTATTTTGAAGGAAAATGTTATTTAAATATCAAATATTAAAACGGTTGTTTTTCAGTGGCACGGTGGACGTGGCGTTGGAAAATATTTCCATGAGTAGCGAGGATGCCACTATAGAGACTGGGTATGTACGATAAATGGTCTAAAAAAATTATCCATTTGCAAAATCAAAACTTTCTCGTGGATTTCAAAGTTGTAGATGTATAAATCCCATAATTTCTTTCTATTATCATATTCTAGATCTAAGAAAGCATCTGCTGATTTGGATTCCTCTGGCGATTCGGCCATTGACAATGCTAATGGCTGTACCATACCCGATTTAAAAATTATTGATTTCGAATATTGCGCCTACAATTATCGTGGATTCGATTTGGCCAATCATTTCTTGGAGTGGACCTTCAATTATAGCCGTTCTGATTTTCCATTTTATTATTACCACAGTGAAAATTATCCCACAAAAGAGCAAAGAGATCAATTTATAAGAACATATCTTAAGAAATTTAATGACAAAGAAGACGAATGGGAACCCACACAGAAGGAGATCGACGATGTTGATGGGGAAGTGACAGTATTTCGTATGATGTCTCATCTGTTTTGGAGTTTATGGTCTTTGATGAATGTTACATCAAATATTGAGTTTGGGTATTGGGTGAGTAAACACTTTTCTAAAAGAAATAGTTCATTTATAATTCTGTTCTTCATTTCTAGGACTATGCGGTTTGCAGAATTAAAGAGTATCTCCATCTCAAACAGGCCTATATTACGGATCACATGATGACTGTTTAGAAATGAAACGGACCATGAGTACTTACCCAAACTTTTTTGGTCAATTTTAAAAATTGAACTGAGCGAATTTCAAGACAGGTTATATACAACTAATTTTATAATCTAGGATTTATATAACGATAAGATGTACTGTTAACGAAGATGCAAAACAATGAGCACCATCAGCCGTGTTGGGCTGTTTGGTTGCCGTTAGTAATTAGGCAAGATGAAAGTGTTCGTTTTGTAAAATGTTTTAAGACTATTTCTAAATAGTGCTGTGATGGTTTTTTTACTTAAATAATTGCGCCGATTTATCCTTATACTGATATATATTATAAAATAGCAGATTCAATTTGTATTTCCTTAAATATTGTTCTCAGATTCCTTTGTTTTTCCTTGATGCACCCAACGTTATTGTCAAGTGTCAAACATTTTGTTATATTTGACATTTATTATGTATTTTTCTTATCGTTTTTCATTATCACTTTGAATGTTACTTTTCTTGATCTATATACGCGTATCTTATACACCACATTTTTTCTAGATTAAGTTTCAATATTAAAATAAATCACCATAATAACAGGAATGTGTGGAGAGTGTTTAACGAACAAAATCCATGTGTCCTTTTTAATAAATGGTTAATAAAGAATAACTGCGTTTCTCTTACTAGTGATTTTTTTCTTACTGTTTTGTACCCTTTTATAACATAAACTATTTTTTATTTTAATTAGAATCGAGCTAATGAATACATTTTGAAATATTATTTACAATCCATATTACCCTATTTGCAATTTTTTATACCCTCCACCATACATGGTATGGAGGGTATATTAAGTTCGTCTTTCCGTTGGTAACTTATCGAAATAATAATTTTAGACATAACAAATTATAAATATTTTTGATCAGCGTAAAATTCTAAGACGATTTAGACCTGTCCGTCTGTTGTAATCACGCTAGAGTCAAAATGAATAAAGATAGGAAGCTAAAATTTTGCAAAGATCAGTCTTTTGCCTGCAGGCAGGTTAAGTTCGAAGATAGCCTATATCGGTTCACGATATCGTAGAGCCCCCATATAACGGTACCTCCGATATTCGTTTTTGATGACTGTAGCCAAATTTTTCAATCCACAAAAGGGGTTACTTCTGACCACTTACAGTGGGTAAAAGTATTGTATATATATGTCCACGATATAGTATATACCCCACATAACGGTACCTCCCTATATTCGCTATTTTGCTGATCTTTGCTTCATTTTTCAATGGAATTGTCTAAAAATCCAAAGAAGTTCTTTCTTAGCACTTTACCCCTTGGAAGAGAAATGTCTACATAGGTCTACGATATCGTGTAACCCACATAAAACGGTACCCTACCGACTTGCGATATTTTTTACGATTTTAGGATTTATATCATTCATCCGAGTTGTTTCAACTTTCGTATTTAGAATTCGTAATGTGGGTACTATGGTACCATGGTACAATGAAGAGAAGGTAGGCCAACTTTGAAAGAATTGCAAGTATAGAGGTCTACCTGTTTGGCTTGTAATGCCAGAATTAGTATCAAAACGATAAAAAATCAAACAACTTGTTGCATTTATTTTAAATAAATAATTGAAAACCGCGATAACTGAATAAAAGGTCAACACTTCTTTTCAAAATCATGTACTATATATCTCTAAAGAATTATTTCGCTACAAAAACTCTAGATTTTGTCGATGCATACGTTGAAATAAACATTTTGAAAACACCCGAATTTGAATATTTTTTGAAAAATTTTTTGTTATTGAAAGGAAAACACATACATAAACAAATAAAGATGACATATTAAGCCAAGAAAATAAAAAAATTGAAATCATATGGTATCATAGCCCTACCTTGATATCATTGTACCATGATAGGTACTACAGCCTGTGACAGAAAATTGTCTTTGCAAGTTCAGGTCTTCGTATGGCCCCGATATAACGGTACCTCGCTATATTCGGTATTTTGATGACTTAAGCTACATTGTTAATCGATTTTTTTTTCAAGTTTCGTGAATATTGTAATGGCTTAAGGCAAAAGTTGTCTATGCAGGTTCACATGTTCGTATAGACACCAATATAACGGCTACAATCGTATTTTTAAGATTTTAACAAAATTTTTAACGGATTTTATTTTTTGAAAATTTCCTAATTCGTTCCAAATTGTGAAGTGTGTTCAAAGTTCGATCCAGCCGAACTTACTGCTTTTTTGCTTGTTATTATATAATATCAAATAATGTTAACGTTTTGTAAATCTTAGACTAGTAAAAACAGAGAGTGTTTCATTTGGGGCTTTTATTAAATAATTGAACATACATTCTATCTTCAGGGAATCATTTGATGACGCTACCCCCACTGTACCCTCCTCCAAATTTATCCCATTTAAGCAATTTATGCAAGTCTTCCATGACATGGGTTCTTGTTTTATGACACATTTTCATAGAACAAGAATCGCACCACATGTCTTTATTTCAAGTCGGCCTAAAAAATTGAAACAATTGGTGTCTTTCCGTAATCCTTTAACGACAAATCTACACTTTTCAGATATAATTCATAACATTTTAGTTGTCATTTAACAAACATTTCCATTTCATTAATAATTCAAAAAGAGAGAAATTTGAAATCCACTCTTGTAGAACTACTCGACCCAGGAAATACGGAAAAAATTCTTAGAAGTTAGTCACCCGTCACTTTTCCTAGTTTTCTCTAAAAGTTTTAATACTCTTTAAGGTAAACAAAATGGTTTCTAGTAAAAAGTCGAAAAAGTAGTTGTTCTTGAACGTTCTGGAACGGAGCTAATGTAACTTATGTTGTTACATATTAAAGCTCCATCTATTGTACTTTTTGTGTTTGAGATATTCCTAAAAATGCGAATTAAGCTGGGACATGAACATGGTTTGTGGCTTGGGATGGTGTGTTTAGTGTTTTTTAATAAACGTAATGTTATAGAAACATGTAAGAAACTAGTTGCAAAATAAATAGATAGAGGACGTATTTTTTGATTATGGCGATTCTGTTTATTTCTTAAGGAATATTAGATTGTAATCTTTTGACAGAGATTCTTAGGTAGTTCTTTTGTTATCCATGGAAGACCAGTGGGAGGTCGTTTATTTAATGGAGATCGATGGAGGTTATTCTACCTATCGAAGTACCGTTCTATTTTTGGTTAGACATGTGAAAATGATTTTCTTTATACAGAAGATCTTCCTTACCTAATAGATCTGTGGAAGTTTTTCTATTAAAAAGTTCTGTGGATGATATTTTGTCTTCTGTTTTTAGAAGAAAAGTGGTGGATTTTCGTCTTGAGAAGGCCTGATTTGCATTTTAATACAGGGAAATCTTGTGGAAGTTCTTTCATTTAAGAAGATATTTAAAAAGTTCCCAGCTATAACAGGCCTACGGAAGGTCTTCGATTTTTAGGAGACTTGAAAAATGGTTCCCACCCTTATAACTTTCAAGATTCCCTCATCCATTTTAATATTAACATACAGGGTTGAGATAAAAAACTGCAACAAAGTCAAACGCCATAATTTTTACATTTTTAAAATTTTTTTGAATGGAAGCAAAAATGTCGGAAATTCCATCAAATTTTAGAATAAGTTAATATTTGTTCGAATTGGTCATCTTTGGCACGAATTATGGCCTTCAAACGGTCAATGAAACCGTCACACGCTGCCCAAATGTTGCTCTGCGGTATTTTGGCCCATTCCCGGCGAAGCGCTTGCTTGAGGTGATCGACATTTTTGTATTTTTTAGTGCCAATCTTGCTTTACAAAATAGTCCAGACACAATATACCAACGGATTGGTATCCGGAGATTTTGGTGGCCATTGTGCGTTGGAAATGCAGCTAGGAATCTCATTTTGTAACCATTCTTGGGTGGCTCGTGTTGAGTTCGATGGTGCTGAGTCCTGTTGGAATGTCCTGCGGCCAAAATGTTTGCGTGCCCAAGGCTTTAATACACCCTCAAGAATATTATCGCGATAATATTCGTCATTTATTCTGATGCCACGGTCGATAAATACGAGCGGAGAGCGACCATCGGCAGTTATGGCGGCCCACACCATCACCATGACCGACGCTTGAGTTCTGGTGGAAAAACCGATGGTGCACATTTTCAGCTGACCTCTTTGGCAAGTAAACATTTTTTAATTTTGTTTGTTTACAAGCTGTTGGACAACGAAGGTTTTCTCATCGGAGAAAACCAAATTCGGCAGTTCAAAGTTTACCACTTTCGGTGTAAGTTTTTGCACTTTTTGGAATTTCAATGGCTCTACCCCGAGTTCATTTTTCAACATTTGCCGAGTGGAATATTGGGATATGTTCAGCTCACGAGCCACTTTTCGGCCACTGCGACGCGGGTTTCGATCAAGTCGCTTCTTTACTTTTCAAACCATTTCTGCTGAAGTTGCTGTTTTCTTCCGTCCAATTCCTTGAAGCTACGCTACGAGTATCACGGTATTCTGCCGGTGGGCAGGTCCCCATATAACGGTACCTCCCTTTATTCAGTATTTTAATGATATTAGCGACATTATTAACGGAATTGTTTCAAATTTTGTATTTGATGTTCGAAATCGGTACCACAGCCTATGGCAGAAAATCAGCGGTTTTCATTAAAGCATTATTATTTTTCGCCGATTTTTTTTTTTAATTTTCCAAGTTTCTTAAAAATGGTTGAGGATATTAAAAGTTCTCTCCATATCTTCAGCTGCAACAAAAATCCCTTTGTCATGGTTTTATTGCATACACGCTTAGCTGAGGCGTGCAAAGCTTCCAAGATTGTTAAGACTTTGCCATAAGAGTTTTTTCGGATCATTTATTTTACAACAATTCCATTGCGTTTAGTCAAAGTGTCCAACGCCAACTATATTTAATGTCACTTCAGTGACGATGCCGATGCAGAAAGTTTATCTTCATCTACAATTGCCATAAATGTCATAATTTTTATTATTCTTCGTCTTCTTCTATTTTTCAGTTTTATGCGTTCGCGCTACACAAAGTTTATTTTATTGCAATTCGAAGCCATTCTGGCTGACTGGCGGCTGGCTGGTTAGATTGCTTTCTTTGGTGGCTTGGATTGTTGAAGTTTTATTAAAAATTGCGAAAAATTGTTTCTTGGCATGGATGAAATAACAAATGATTGCCATTTTACATAAATACAGACAATAGATTTGTATACACATTGTAAATTTAACGCTTTTCAGATTAGATGACAGCCAGCGAGAGAGAGAGAAGGATATGTATGGAACTATTTACTTGTCAAGTGGATTTGTTGAGTTACAGTTGGTGAGAAAAGTGTAACGAATAATTTTTGAAAAACGAAGTATGATTGGAATCGCCCAAGGGGATTTAGGTTTTCCTTAGCTACTTCAGCAATTCCATAAAATACAAAGAAGTATTGAAAGTAGTCTTTTTATCCACCGAGCGGATTATTGAAAATATAATTCTCATTACATCCCCTCAATCAACACTTAACGCACAATTAAAAGAAAAGAGCGTATTTTGCACTTCCCCCCTACTTTTACAATTCACACAACGTGTTTGTTGTCATATTCAAATAAAGCTGAACTAACTAATGAAAGTTTTTCCACAACAACAACAACTATACCACAACAAGGGAAACATTCCAAGTCAGGG